ATTAAACTCTTATTTTTTAAATTTATTCCTTAATTGAACATAAGCACTTTAAAGCAGGACCTGCTGCTCACTACTTTAAAAATATAAAATTTAAAACTGACTCTTCAGAAACATATATTTAGCATCAAAATGACTCTGTTCTTTAACTCATAACAGCTGCAGAGAAAATTGATGTTTTATACTAACCGATGTTCAAATTCAATTTAGCTGGCAGAATACGTCCTTGTGTTTTTTTTTTTCCCTTTTCTCAACTTCCGCTCTCACACATGCTTTTAATTATGAAGGAATTCTCTTGGATCAAGTCCTACAGTTAAAGATGTGATCATATAAATTAGGTTATAATAACAAAAATACACAGCAGTAAACGTCTTAATTCTTTCTGCCTTGCGTTTTATGCTTTTTATGTTTAGACTCCAGCTGGTCTGAATAAATCTGTTCCCACACACACACACACACACACACACATACACACACACTAAACCTACAGCGTTCAGCCAGCTCCTCCGTCCCATCGGTGACCCCGCTGCCATCAAACATTAACCTAGCCAAAATCTAACCCCTGCTTTTCCCCGTCCACCAACACGTATCTATCAGGAAAACCATCTATCCATCAGCGCAGAGGAGTCTGCAGACAGCACAGTGAGGAGGAGGAGGAGGAGGGGGTCCTTCCCATTACTGCCCTGAATTAACCCCTAGCTAAATATTTACAGTAAGACGAAGAACACACAGACACAAATATATGATGCAGAGCCATATATAACCAGCACAGTTTGCTGTGGTCAGAAAGAGCACTGCAGCAACGACTGCCAACAGAAACWGAAATATTCTCAGGAAACTAACAGAACCTGTCCTCTTATCCGACTCAGTAACGATCAAATCTTCCAACTTTAAAACGTGAAAGCACAACAGATCGATACGAGCGTATGCTCACATTTTTATACACATTTTAACACAGCGGGAGGAAAATCTGGAGCTTTAATTACGCATAATGAAGACTCCTGCTTCTATTTCACACCCTTATTCACTTCAATTAAAAAAAGTCTCATTTCTTTTTCATGTTGGTGGGTAATGTGTCCTTAGATTAAAAATATAAAAGCAAAATTTGTGACCAAATGTTAACTAGCACCTGTGTTTGACTGAATATAGCTCCATAAAGGTGACGTCCATAAAAAAAGACGCTTGGGACGGAGAAGTCCAACAAGTTTTTTTATGAATTGGTACGTGTTTACATGCAAATAAAAGCACTTTGTTTACACTGAGTGCGTATTGGCTTTTCAGGATAGAATATCAAGAAATCTGTCTTTTTGTGTGTTACTCTTGTGTCTTCATGCTACATATGTTTTATATCCTTTGTATTTTCTATTTTTCTTATATTTTATAAGAAATATAGATGTACATATATAGCAATACACCTATACACCTATAGATGTATGTATAGATGTATTGCACCTTACACCGAAGCAAATTCCTAGTCGGTGAATCCTGTTCATTGACAGTGACAATAAAACTAAATMCGATTCTGATTGTTTGCAATAAGTACCTTTAATATAAGCCAAACGCTTTAAGACATATTGTGGACAGGTTAAAAAAAGTATTCGCTATTAAAAAACTGAATTCTAGTGTCAATAGTGTAGGCTCAGGAAGATTTCATTGTCAAAGAAAAAGACTGCTTTTATCCACAAAGATGCACAAAGTTTGACACAAAGAAACAAAAAACACGCTCATTTGAGACAAACGCAACAAAGGGAGCTCCAGCCTGTTGAGTGGATATTTATATATTATAAAATCATAAAATCACAGCAGCTGAATGCTCAGCTCTTAAACTCACACCAGAAAAACACGTCTATGAATAAATTAAACTTTTTAATTTACAGCTATTTTAATTGCAACACTTAGAATTTATACATTTTTTCAGCTGAATAAACCAATTTGTTCTGTAYTTTATAAACTAGGTGAACCCCGGGGTCTGAACTGTCCGACACAGTGAAAAACAGGAAACACACCAGACCAGATCCTGACAAACCCTTATTCCAAATCCTTATTTATTGTCCTGAGTGATTTGTTAATATTTTAATGTAAAATGTTTGCATCAAGACCCAAAGGCAAATTCCTGGTACGTACAAATATACTCAACAAAAAAAAGATTGCCTTTTTTTTAAACCACACTCAAATTTCATGTTTTGTCACAAATTGCAGGCRCTCTGAAAACATTAACCCCAGAGAAATTTGGACGTCTACTATAGACTGTTTTTTTAATAAGTGAAGAGAAAGTAGAGACAGACAGAAAAAACAGAGAGAGACGTAATTAGAAAGATTGAAATAGTATTGAAATACTATAGACTGTTTTGAGGTAAAAACAACATAAATCGGCGGCACGATGGCTCAGTGGTTAGCACCGACGCCTCACAGCTAGAAGGTCCTGGGTTTGATCCCAGGTTTGGACATGGGGTATTTCTGTGTGGAGTTTGCATGCTCTCCTCGTGCTTGCGTGGGTTTTCTCCAGGTACTCCGGTTTCCCCCAGCCCTAAAAACATGTACAATAGACTGCCTTCAGGCCTCCACTGAAAAAGAGATCTGAGATCTTGGGACTTGCCTGGTTAAATAACGATAGGTAAAATAAAATTCATCAAATCCATTCTGTGGTCCCTCCAGATGGATCCACTTTATGGTCTGATCTGATGCTCATTGTAACAACTGAAGGTTTAATTTTAGTATTTTTATTAGTTTCATATCAGAAATAAACAAAACAGTGCAGCAGATAGACTTTATAAATAAGAGCCTAATTATTGCTAGTGCCGTTTCCTTTTCCATAAGCAGCCTGTAGACATTCTTTTATTAGTTAGATGAATTATCCAAAAGGCCCACAGCTGCATAAAAGGTCAGATCGTTTGAAGAACGAGAAGAATGCAGGTGAGAGCGAGCCGTTAATGGCTGCAGAAGAAACAAAACAGGTGAATGATTCTGAAAGAAAAGGGGGGATGAAGGAAGTGAGGACCGAACTGAGCCACTTCCATCAGCGGAGGGGAAGCTCCAAAGCACAGAGGCGGTTGCCAAGCAACTGAACACGATGGCAAAAATAAATAAATAAATAAATAAATAAATAATAATAATACACAGACCTGTTCCACGTGTGTGAGCAAGACCCACATTTATGGCATACACACACACATGTAAACATCAAGCCAATTACAAAAGTGAATCAAATCTTTGCCATTAGGATTGGTAATTTAATGTTGTATTGTACAGAGGCCAGCCGAAAACATTTTCTGATTAATTTAACTGCATTCAGAGACCAAGGAGCGGGATGTGAAGAACAGACTTGGCTACAATACCACACAGTCTGATAAAAGTATATTAAARCTCTGAGTGCATTCAGGTTTAAGTATTCATAATTATCAAAACACGTTACAAAAAAAACACAACCTAAATTGTGGGGAAAACGTGGGAAAGTTTTTTCAAGACTTATTCTTTAGACCTGTAAGGACTGTCACAATAACAAATTTTAATGGATGATAAAATGTCTCAGAAAATATTGCGATTAATGATAATATCATTTAGAGACCATTTTAAAATAATATAATGACACCATCCCCCAGCTCGCTTATGAAGTTTATGGAAGTTTACGAAAYAGGGTTGGGCAAAAACCAGCCCCTTGTCCTTCGCTTTGCTTCATACGAGGGTCTGGACTCTCGGCTGTAGAGAAGCGATTTTTGCTGGAGGCGTGGCCTCTGCTGAAGGTTAAAATGACTGGATCGTTTGGCCGCAACGAACATGCCAGCTGTGAAGGAGGCTAAGCTAAGAAGCTAAYCGGAAATCGTGTGCRCTGTAAACAACCTTAATGAGGAGAAATATAACGAGCTGAACAAGGCRGATGTAAATGAGAGCTGCTGCTTTGTCAGACAAATTTAATTTAATTTGGAAGCCTTATCAACACGGACTGGCTTCATTCACTTCCTCCACTGATATTGCTAAACTAACTAGCAGACACTGCGCAGAAAATTGACGTTCTGTTCTCTGATTGTCCCGAACGAAATTCTTCTGAAGAAATCCTYRTCTATGGGAGAAATCCCAGATGGAGCAGTGAAGGGAAACTAAAACTGAGTGGAAATGCGTAGAAAGGTAAGGGCCAGGCTAGGCAAAATCGTATGTGCAATTAATCGTCAGAAAAACTTTAATCGATTATTTTTTGGCACTTGACGATTAATACGATCCCCGATCAGTCTGCTCGATGCTACTCTACAGTTCAAATATGACGAACATTTTAAATAAAGTTCTTTACTTTATTTATCATAACTCCAAATTTACTTGGCCTATCAACACAATTTAAAAACTGATGTATRGCATGAAGTCTCTGCTTTTGACACAATTTGGAACAAATTTTTAAGGAGAGAAAATCTTTCCTAATAGAGTGATTAAAATTGGTCATATAAAAAGGGCATGCAGGTGTCCAGGGACTCCAGGGGATTAATCATCATTTAAATCGTTACCGGTAAATACCACAATTAATCGTGATTAATTTTTTTGCCAATATTACCAAACCCTATTATGAAATTTATGTACGTAAAGAAAAGTTGCAAACTGACCTGGGCCGGAGGTTGGGAAGCCGGCGCAATTTATCTTAAAATGATCGGGGTCACCCGCATGCTGCTTACAATGTTTACGAA